ATTGCTTTATACATTACAATTTATAACTTGTGAATGTTACAAGATTCCTAGTATAAATTTTATACTGGGACTTGATTAAACTTTTAAGAAAAAAAATTTGATTCCAAAATGTGGATTCTAATACTATATTATTTTATGATTAATACTTTAGTTTCCTGTCAAAGTATATAATATATATATATATATATAAGTTAAATATAATATTATTATTATATGTAACTTATTTATATTAGTTAAAAATATAGAATTTGTTATCTGTCACATGTATTAATATCTGATATCAAGTCACTGGTATAGACCATAATAATTTCAATGTTAACATTATAGTAAAAAAATTACACTATATTATATTCTCCTGTGTATCTTGTACCATTCATTTTCATCAAACAAAATAATTGCTTAATAAAACATTTGTATACAATTAACGTACGACTTTCAAACGAACAGTCATGTTCCGTGGCAGACGAGCTGCAAAAAAAGCTCGTGCCAAATATATTTTCCAATTACAGGCACGTCTTCCAATGATAACTTGAAGAATACCAATAATGTTAAGTACAGACCATCACCTTCTTGTCCACCGCTAAATTCTACAGACAATAAATCATGTGATTTATGCTGTGGTACATTGTGGTACATCGTGAACGCATTGAAAACAACCGCTCTGATTTGCTTGATGAAGATGTCTTAGCAATAGGCTATCGAACGCTAGGATTAACATAATTCTATGAGTGTGTGTCTAACGCGACCACTGAAGCGGATTCAAAGAGACAACCGGTTGCTATATCTGTCCAAACTGTGGGCAGGCGGCGTCACTATAATGTGGCAATATATAATACATAAATGTCGAATTATGATTTTTCTTGTTTTGAAAAACTAAATTCGTTACAACCATATATCATAGTAATTAAAATTTTTTACAAAGAGAATTGTAATTGAGTAGCTTATTTGTACCTCTAAAATATCATTACTTAACCTTTCCTGATGGAAAAATTTCACTGAAATTATTTCACATTTTGGAACACTTTTTAGCAAAATTTTGACATTTTAGAAAAATTTCAGTTTAGTTTCAGCGATTTTTAGCTGAAAAATTCATTTTCAGCTAAATTTCAAACAAATTTCAATAAAAATTTCAGAAAAATTTCACAGAAATTTCAGTTCAGTTTTAGAGAAATTTCAGCGATTTTTCAATATGTTAACTAAAAAATTCACTTTTAGCGAAATTTCAGCAAATTTTGAGCAATTTCGCTGAAATGTTCCAAAACGTAGGATTTTTTCAGCGAAATTTTTTCATCAGGAAATTATTATAATAAATATTTTATATATTACAAATATTATAAATATTTTAATTCTTTACCTCACACTTTCTTTAAAAAATGAATTTTCTAAATGTTCAGCCGTTATATTTTGTAACCTTATTAGTCACCACGTTTTATTTTATTCTCGTATTTCCCACTCAGTCATGAACAGTCACGACGAATTCGATTTCATGATTAGACACTAGCACTGAAATTTTGGTTGAAGATTTGAGACTTTGTTTGAAACCAATCTTGAGATTTGAGAAACGACTATGGATTCGGGCCTTAAAGTCATCAGATTGAGTACCACTGTTCAATCCAATTTAGAAATCTGATTACTTCACGTAAACACCCAGATACGCGCGAGTCGCCGAGCGGTCCGATCTTCCTTAAGCCGTAATCACACTGCAGACTCCCGACTCTGACTCGACTACTGACTCGGACTCCCGACTATCATTCTACCAATCACAGCAAAGCAGCAGCCGACTCTGACTGCCGACTCGAGAATAGAAATCACTCTATTCGACTTTGAGTCGAGAGTCGGGAGTCAGAGTCGGGAGCCTGTAGTGTGATTACGGCTTTACTCGATCGCGCGCCGACTTCCCCTATTCCGTCCGGCGCGCTGCCTCGCTCGTGTTCCTCAACTTTTCAATGGTTTTGAACAATTTAAACAAACTTTTTCAGTAGCAAAAAGTTCGAGAATTTTTTAACAGCAAATTCAATTTTTACTTGACAAATTGATGCCAACTCTTAATCTTAAAAATTAAAGCCAGTTTTTTGAAAAAAAATTTTTATTGCGGCTTATAATAATCGGAGCGTAATCTTTTTTTTTTAAATTCGTAGAAAAATGTCAGCTGGCGAATGCTTCACACGACTATTTGATGTGATGCATATTAACGGAATTATTCCATTTTTTTATATGAAAAAAAGATACTTTTCAAAGTCGTTTTATAATAATTTAACTGCAAAAAATCGTTTTATAAGTGTACGTGATAGTGTAATTCTTGAAAAAGAAAAATCACCCCTGTATATTGCTGTGCGACTGCTCAAAAAAAGATGAAGAAATTAAGTTTTCCGCAGATAGGTTTTTAGTGATGGCTTTTTGCAAAAACTGATGAACATTTCAAACTCGTTCAGGGCTAGATTTGTTCGTCATTACGAGGGCTACATTTTATGAGAATTTCAAAACTTTCCATACAATCAATATCTTTCGTTTTATAAGCGAAAAACGTGCTTTTTGCAGCTATTCGATTTTTTTTTAGCATATTTTCTTCACAAGTCTCGAGTCTGAAACATACGCATTTCTTTTCTAATTTCTTCCTTTCGAAGATTTTCGTGAAGAGAAAGGCTGATTTATAACTTTTTTCTGATAAAATTCTACTTCTACTGAACTATTTTTGCTATTTAAGTTTATGAAGTATACAACGCGCATAAAAAAAATCGTAAACAATTAAATATCTCGTAAACTGTTGCGTTTTTATATGATTTATACTATTTTGGATTAATGGAAAGCGTACACTATTATTACAATTTATTAAAACTTATATGTTATTTAGAATGCTCCTCGCCCCTTATGATGCCGAGAGCCGCCGAGCGGCCGAGATTACCGAGAAAGCATTTTCGATCGCTTGCAATAAGCGACTAGCTTATTATGAGAAGAAGCTCGCTGTCTCGTTCACTCTCGACGCACTAGAAGGCGAGCACACGGACATGGGCTCGTGCTTGAATGTGTGGCTACTGGTTTTGTCAGATCGCCATCTGATTCTGTATTGCCACCGTCAACGCAGAGTTCTTGGCTGAGTACTGAGGAGCCTTAAATATATTTCTAATATCCTAATTATAAATATTGTTACGAGATTCTTTTGAACTATTCATTCTTTGTTTTTCTTCTCATAAATAATCCTGTAAATCTCGTAAAGGACCCTGCACAAAATCATAGGATTTTGGCCCTCGGTGAAATTGACTGAAATTTTAATATGTTAGTTCTTGACTCACTGATCAAAAATGTCCATAGGCACAAAGCCTGAAAATGACTAGTTTTTTTGTTGTAACCATTTAAAGTTTTATTTTACTAATACCTCAAAATTAGGTTTCTATAATAAATCAAGAGATTTTAAATAACAATATGCACCAACCACTCTCACCACCTTCACTACCAACCCCATCTCCACTCCACTCCCACTCCACCCCCATCCCCACACACATACGCGCGCGCGCACGTGTGTGTGTTTGTGTATGCATCAATGGTACATTTATGATTTTAGTTTTTCGTCCATCCTCAGAATTATTCGAAATGAACGACGTGGACGTGACAGGCGTTTCATTCCTTTGGGTTACTTGATTTTCATGAGTCCCCTTGCCGCATATGAATGTAAACAAAGCGAAGAGGAAAAGAATTTTCTATCCTATGTTGCTATCGCACTTTAGAGAGCACCCGATATTTTTTTGTACATGGAGCTTCACATGCGGAAATAAACATTCGGGTCGTGATAATCAAGCACTTCGCACATGAAAGGTAAATGAACTAACACATTTCAAATGATACGCGTGAGAGAAATCGTAAAAATCTAGTAAAATCTAAGTACATAGTAAAAATGCGCGCGTGGGCGTAGGTGTATGGGAATAGGGGTGGGAATGGAGTGAGGGTGGGATTGGGAGTGAGAGTGACGAGAGTGGATGGCATATTGTTATCTAAAATCTCTTGATTTATTACAGAAACTTGCTTTTGAAGCATTAATAAAATAAAACTTTAAACGGCTCTAACAAAAAAAAACTAATCATTTTCAGGTTTTGTCTATGGACACTTTTGATCAATGAGTCAAGAACTATAATATACTAAAATTTCAGCCAATTTCACCGAGGGCCTAAATCCTATGATTTTGTGCGGGGTCCTTTCTTCTCGTAAATAAAAAAAAGTAATGGTTTTAATAATATTCTGATTGTCATTCTGCATATATGTAAAATATATCAGAATTTCAGCGAATTTAAACTAAAATATTGAAAAAAAAGAAAGTGAAAAAGCAAAAGATAATAATTTATCATTCTCCCCTTTAACATTAATATAATTGAACACGTGATAATACGGAACGTTTGTGTTATAATCTTGTTATATCTATCACGTAAAAGAGCACGACAGTGTCTCACGCTATAACGCTGCACTTATCTTAGTGTCGAGACATTACCGTGTCTCCAGATACTTGCGCTCTCACTAACCTTGTTCCGTAGAGCCCTGAGTAGGTCTCTTACGCTCTTGCCTCGATAACTCCTATATTTACGCAAATCTGTTGCAACTTCAAAATCTATATAGAGTCTCCAATCGTCTCCCGTTACGTGCTCACCGTAAGTTTCCAATGCTATTAAAGCCGGGCTGTCAGACTGATCTTTTTCCACTCGGTCGCTAATATCCTATTGCATAAATTGCAATAGTGACAAAACAAAGGAAAGATTCACACAATTTTTCACTTCTATCATAAATCTAATGCAATTATCTTTCATAAATCTAATCTAATCTAAAGTAGTTATATATATCAGAAGAATCTTAAATTTTTTATAAAATATAACTTGGAAATGAATTTTAATCTTCTTTCCTCTTTCTCTCGAAAGCGCAAATAAAAAACAGATATATATTTTGAAAATACTAAATTGTATTTTATACCTGAAAGAAACCCAGAATCTCTGCTAAATTCCAGAAAATTGGATAATTACAAATTGCTAAAGCTGGCGGTCTACCGGCAGGATTACTGCATAACATTGCCTTGATAAGTAACAAAGCTAATTCTCTGTCACTTGAAGACACTTCCTGGAGCGCTGTTAAATTGCTCTCGCCACCTATAACGGAGACAGAATAGACCAATATACTTGTAACAAACAATTATCATAATATAATTGATATTTCATGCGGTAGTTTCACAATGATAATTTAACAAATGGCTAAATGTATATTCAATTATAATAATAATCTGTAGAATTATTATCATCTCTGCATATTTGTCATTATATTCTCTTGGCTTGATTTACAGAATATATTGAACGATTACTATGTAAGAAATAACATAAGAAATGACATAAATGAGCCAAAGAAAAGTACATGCAATTGGAAATTTTACTTCAATTGTTACTTACAGAGGATATTAGCTTGTCTTCGTAATGGATCACCGAAAGGATGCTTGCCACCGGAGAGAACATAATAAAAAACGCAACCAAGCGAGAAAATGTCGACCGCACATGTCGTCCTTTCTCCATTTAGCATCTCTGGCGCAATCCAGCCATCAGTTCCAGTGATACCGGATCTCCGTGAAAATGATACGCGACCGAGCTGGAGTTTTTTACATAATCCAAAATCTGATATCATAGCGCGTACTTCTCCACGAGGTCCAGGGACAGAGAGCAAGACATTGTGAGGTTTAATGTCTCTATGAACTACATATCCAAAAATTTCAAAAACAAATTCTTTTCAATAAAAAAAGATAAAACAAAATCAAAAGCGGATTTATTATGCAAGATATTTTAAAATTACCAACCGGTTTCATAGTTCTTATTTTAAGACTGTTTTAAGTAATGTCTCAAGATTACTATGGCTCTTATGGCCGGTATTCATAGTCAGATCTTATATTCAAGACTGTCTTAAGTACGGTCTTAAGAAGTAACGAACCAATCAGAGGGCTGCATTAGCGTCTTAAGACATTACTTAAGACGATCTTGAAATAAGAATCGACTATGACTACCGGCCAATGACTGTGGTATTCATAGTCGGATCTTATATTTAAGACTATCTTGAATACAGTATTAGGATATTATAAGCCAATCCCAAGCCGATATACGGCCTGCAAGAACGAACATAATCGTTCTTATTTCAAGACCGTTTTAAGTAATGATAATAAGACACTAAGGCCGGTATTCATAGTCGGTTCTTATTTTAAGACCGTCTTAAGTAATGTCTTAAGGGGATGCTAAACCGATTACCCAACTCAATCAAGGTCGATAGTACAGACTTTTTTAATTCCAAATTCGATAATAGTGGTGACATCTTTAATTTAGTTTTTACAGTATATTATATAATATACAGGGTGTTCGAAAAGTGTGGAAACGGTCGAATATCTCGAGAAATACACATCGGATCAGAAATCTGAAAATATACGTATTCAACGTTTTCAAAA